AGATATTAAACAAAGATAAATATAAAATGGCAAAGTCCATTTTATATTTATCTTTGTTTAATATCTTTATCTCCACCCATATCTGATTGTTTTCAGCTATTTCAATAAAAATGAAGTATAGACACGTCAATTCAGTCTAAATATTAGGACAACTGTCTAATTTTAAGTATTTTAATGTATTTCTTGGTTTTTAGTCTCTGCCCTGCTGTAAACCAAATCTGAAGTTAAATCGTGTACATTTGTGTTTACCCATTTGCAAAAGACAACATACACAGCTGCGCACATTTCAACAGGCTTTATTATCATGTAATAATTATTTTATTTTGGCCTCTCACAAAATCACTCGTATCAAAATAAAAATTGACTTTTAACATTCAAATATCTCAGGCCTAACGTAGCATCATCTAGTAAAGTGCAAAATTCCTTATCACCTGAAACGGATATTTTTAGAATAATGTATGAGCTTGTGCATAGGAACGTATTACTTTTTCTTTTTTAAACAATGCATGAACTACTTTTTAAAAGCACAACTATGAAAAGCAAAGTCATCCAGTAGCCTATGTAAACTGTTATTAACACATTGCATTTCTTCTTTTCTAACATCATGCCAAGCACACAAAACTTTAAGTATCCATGCACACACGCACATCCTCACTCTTTGGCTTGCAGTGTTTTTATCTCTAGCATGAAACAATCGCGACACTCCAGACGCGCGGGGGACTCATTCAAGTACATTGTTACTGGCCTTTGCGTGTTCGCTCTCGTTCGGGTCAAATATGTTGCCAAAACCGCGGCTTGTTTTTGCGAGGATACCGATCAAAAGGCTTTCTATGGTGATGGAAAACTGGAGGAAACTCAAGGAATACAAACATCTTCTCATCTATGCCTGGAAAAATTTAAGAAGCTCTCTCTCTCTGCTTAGCACCTGTTGTATAAAAAGAACTCAGGTGAAAATCCTCGAAACAGATTAGGTCAAATTTTCAACGATGCTGTTTTAGGCATTTTGTAAAATGTTTAGCAAACTGGTAGAAAATCCGGCATCGTAGTCATGCAGAGGTTTTGCTAAATTGAGTTTGAAGCGTTTGAGTCCTTCCAGCCACATTCTGTCACTTTACATTCACTTTCCTGTGTGTGTGTGTGTGTGTGTGTGTGTACGTGATACAGCAGACGTCTTTCTAATATAAAGCACCTTAATTAAAGTTCAGCAGTATGCGACGCGGGGTTAAGCATGAGATTCACATTGGCAGATTCTCAGTGCACAGTTAGTTTTAAATCTCGTAGGGAGGAGGGTTTGAGGCAAAGTGTGGTAGCTGCTCGAGTCCGTAACTGTACATTCAACAAGAGAAGATGGGTTGCGACGCTAAAAACAGATGTTACAACATCTGCCGCACTCACGCGTAAAAGGTCCAATCCAAAGTGCTTTAATTGGTGTAAAAATATATCTATAAATATCAAGTCCTCGGTTAAACCCCTCTCTCCTCCTCGTCCTCCTCTTCTCCGTCCTCGTCCTCTTCGTCTTCTTCCTCTTCCTCCTCGTCCTCCTCCGGGCTGTACAGATCGTCGGCGAGCTCGCTCCGGTCGTGCCCCTCGTCTTCGTCGTCGTCCTCCTCGTCTTCCTCCTCCCCCTCGCTCCTCATTTCTTCCACGCTGCTGTCGTCGAGGTCGTCGTCGTCGTCGTCCTCCTCCTCCTCCTCCTCCTCGGCCTCTTCCTCATTCTCCTCCTGCCCCTCCTCCTCGAGATCTGAAAGATGACCTGATGGGTCGACAGAATTCAATGTTTTTCATTTTAACCACAAACACTCTGACATTTAGCTGACTCATACTGTAACATGTACTTTGATACCTTGAAACTACCATTACTACCTTAACAGTACATTACATTTCTATGGGTAAAGTAGTAGTGTGCTTGTAGTGAATTATCAGCTGTACTTCATTCTCTCTATGAAGCATTTTAGTGCACCACATAAACTGGTATATGTATCTCAGCTATATATTAGGACGGAGTTGAAGTTGATTTAATAAGTGAAAACTCCTTACACAGAGTACTAATGGCAGCAACAATGTGACATGGCAGTTCCTCATCAAGGAATTTTCTCATTTCTTCTTCCATCATCACTCCGAGAACCTCCGTCTCCATGTCGACGTATTCTGGGTAGAACATGTTTTTTCTTAGCTGTCTACGGCACCTAAAAAGCACACACACGCACACGCACGCTGGATTAAGTGTTTGTTTGTTTTTTTATTGTCCAAATCTAAATCTTTTCCATGTTATTTATCTTTACAGATGTGCACAAACTGCACATTGTACAGCACAAGCCCTGCATGAATATAAAAGCAGTACTTACTGTTTTCCTGTCGTTTTGTATGCCTGAAAAAGGTAGAAAAACAGTTGTTGGACGCACGAATTACACACAAAGTAGATTTCCATTAAAATAAAATAAACTCAAGTAAAAGTCGTTATTTATTGGTGCAGCCATATGCACAAGAGGACGGGAATCTACTACAAATGTCAACTTCAAGCTATATTTTAATTTACCTACTTAAACTTATGCATTAAAAAAACATCGCAAAGGTTTTACAGCTGTTTGTTCTAGATCTGAAGACATTCCTCTACATGTATTACACGTCAAACTCCGCTGCATATTCCAGATATCTACTTTAATCTCTACTAATTCTAAATTCAGTTGATTCTTGTAAAGGACTTCCATGTTTTACCTTAAAATCACAAGCAAGTCCCAATACTGCTGAACATTTTCTATTAGCTCTGGCCTTTTTATATACTCTGGGGAATGGTTGGCAGTAATGTAAAGTGTATGCGATTTGTGCTTCATGGGCCAAAACATGCGTCTCACCTCGATGAACCGGAAAGGGTCGTTCTCCTGCATGAGGCTTTCGATCCCACAGCGGACCTCCTGGAGACGGGCCTGGTCCTGGCAGATCCTGGAGATGTTCTTCTGGATCGCCGGCCCGTTGGTGTCGCAGTGAGTGCGCGTGCATTCGCGCAATCGGGTGACGAAGCGGAGTACTTTGGCCTTCATCTCCTCGCCCAGCCTGGTCAGGCCCTGCTCAGAGTCGTCCATAAACTTCTACGCGAGGGAGGTGACGAGGAGGAAAAGAGAGCGAGCACAGGATGTTATCAGGATGACACATTTGTTTGGGGAATAGACAGAAAACTAGGAATTTCTTAAGCAAAATATCAAACATTCACTTGTTCAGGCCTCTTACATGTGAGAATGTGCTGCTTTTCTCTGCGTTACATTACCGTAAATTCAATATTTTGTGGGTTTTGACTGAAGTTTGGACAAAACTAGACATTTAAAAATGACTTATAATGTTTTGCTGACCAAATTATTACTCAATTACTCTAGAAAATTATTGTTGCTTCAGGTTTATTCATATACTGAACATGGTTTACATGTGGTACTAACACAATAAAACAACTACTATGTGAAAAACAAGTGTCAAATCATGAAAAGTGGTATTTATGCCAGTTTTCACTCAGTATTCACTGAGAAGCTCAATTGTGATTGTGTTGATAAAAACACTGCATGTAAAAGATAAATTGTAGGAGCTTCAGGTGATGTGTGCCGTCTTACCTTATTCTGCCTCTCCTTCTCCTTCTGCTCCTGGAGTTTTCTCTCTGCCATGCTGTACTTCCTCTCAACCCTGTACAGCTGCTTATCCAGCGTGCCCTGGTGAACATGTTTTTACGATTTTAAATATTTCAAATCACAGATACAGCCCCCAGCACCACAGCCTACATGAACTACCTGCAGTCGAAACGAACGGGAGGAGCGGTGTTTTCCTTTTAGCTGAATCGGCCCTTACTGTAAATCTAATATTGTATAACAACTTAGACTGAAAACGATGCCACTTATACAACATGTTGAATTCAACAGGTTTCTGGACTGAATATCCAGAGCGATGAACTGGAAGCCTCTCAACGTCACACTCTTGTTCAGGAGAGTGAAAGCCCAGGAAGTGGATTCCTGGGCTTTCACACTCCTATAGAAAGAGCACAAAGTCATGTGACTCACACTTCTATACACACACACACACACACACACACACACACACACAGGGCAACAACTGGAAATGTTCATTCATAAGGATTCCAGACTCATCACAAGACTTTGTGTGAGCAAAACAATGAAAATGTGGTTACCTGAATGGAGCAGGCTACACGCCAAGTTCTCCCACACACACTGACTCCAAAACACAATAATATTAAACACATTAAAAGGTAATGAAATACTCCTATAATAGTAATAACACAGACTTCTAACTAAGGCTGCTCAATTAAACGATCTCAAAACT